GGGCTCCCTGCTCCGCGGGAAGCCTGCTTCTCCCTCTCCCACTCCCCCTGTTTGTGTTCCCTCTCTCGCTGTGTCTCTCTCTGTCAAATAAAAAAAAAAAAACTTTAAAAAAAAAAAAAGGGTGGGGAAGCTGAGATCTGTTTGTTCTGTGTATTTTCCAGGGCCACAGGAAAGTTCAGCCAGTGCTGGGCAAGCAGGGTTCCCAGATAGTTCACGTGCTGAACTTGAAATTCTACCTGATACTTGGCTCTGGGGAGTTTTGCCTCAAAAAGCAGAAGGAAGTGAAAAGCTCTTTCTGCTGCTGATTGCTGTCAAGACCAGGCATCCCACCACGGGGCTGAGGGTCCAGGACTGGTCCAGGGGATGGAGGCCACAGCGAGGTCCTGTTGCAACACATTCAGAGGGGTGGTGGGAGGAATAGCAGGGTCGGTAGCCAAGGGAAGCAGGTATGGGGGCTGGGGGGCGGCCCACCCTGAAAGCTGAAAGAAGAGCCGGGGTCCCATGGAGCAGGCGGTGCCAATCCCGAGAGCCCACGGGGGAGACAGCCAGGGTGCCTGCCCAGCCCCAGTCCAACCAGGAAGAACCAGAGATCCTCTACAGATGCACTAAGCCCACGGACAGGATTCCCCAGCAGGTGCACTGAGCCCATGGACAGGATCCTCTAGCAGGTGCAGTGAGCCCACGGACAGGATCCCCCAGCAGGTGCAGTGAGCCCTCGGACAGGATCCTCTAGCAGGTGCACTGAGTCCACGGACAGGATCCCGTAGTAGGTGCAGTGAGGCCACGGACAGGCTCCTCTAGCAGGTGCACTGAGCCCACGGACAGGATCCCCTAGCAGGTGCAGTGAGTCCACGGACAGGATCCCCTAGCAGGTGCAGTGAGTCCACGGACAGGATCCCGTAGCAGGTGCACTGAGCCCATGGACAGGGAATGGTGATATCCACAAAACCAGCAGCAAACAGGTGGTGGGTGCGCCATACTGCGCAGGCATCCCTTGCCCTCCCGTGGGAAAGATGCACACAGACTGCACCATGACACCACCACAGCCACAGCTCACAGAAGGCAGCACCATGCCTCCTGCCATCTGCAGGCTCGGGGATGCTGCAGTGTGCACCGGCAGCCCTCGGACTGGGCATTGGGGAGGAGCAGATGTGTCCGGGTGAAAGTGGCCATGTGCGGGTCACACCCTGACAGCTTTCAGAACCGATTCGGGGAATCACAGATAGGCATGCACGCCTGTGTGCACATCAGTGCATGTGAACACATACGTGAGTGTGAACATCTCTATACGTGTGGATCCATGTGTGTGGATCCCTCCCTTCCAGCACATCCACACCCGGGTCTCCCCTCTCTCTGCCTGTCCCTCGTCTCTACGTCACTGTGTGCTAGGTTCCCCAATACCATCTCCCATGCGGAAGACAAGGTGGTCTTGTTATCGGGTCAAACCATAGAAATTCAGTCTAGAATGTGCACTGTTCATGTTGCTTCACGCCCCGCACATCGGCCTGACTGCTGAAATGAGAACACGGTGGTCCCTCTCCTAAACCAGTCAGAATCAGAAATCTGTGTTTTCCAAGCCGTGCGTGACTAGCCCCCGTCCATCACCTCCTGGCTTTGGCGACTGTCCAGCCCAGAGCGAGGCCGGGGCCCTGAGGACACCTCCCGACAGAACCTTTCTGCATTCCTTCGCGCACCTGGGCACAGGGTCACCAACACAAACTCAGCCCCCTGTGGCCTCCCTGGTCTGCAAACGCTCGCCTTTGGGAGGTATTCATTAGTTCTCAGGCACTTTTCCCCATGCTCGGATTTTCAGTGAACTGATCTTTCTCCAAGGATCCATGATGGACACAGTGATGACCATCACGGTGACACCTAGCATTAAGGAGCCCTCCCCGAGACTCGGATACCCGCTCTGACAATGTTACCGAGTGTTCAGTCCTCACACTAGTATTATCATAGCTCATGGGGGTAATAGTGCAAGTATCACTACTATTAACCTTATTTATGTATGAAATAGATGAGGACATTATCGCGGCTCATGGTACTAGCAGTTGCTCACATCACTGCTATTAACACTGTTTATGCGTTAAATATATGAGGACATAAATGTAAATATACTGAGTACTACTTATCATGCTCCGGTTAATTTACTATGCTATGTATTAGTAGTAATACTACCAATTATGACCAGTAGTACCCTTCGACGCTTGTTAACCCGAAAAGGCCCCAGGATGCTAAGTCGTCTGAGGCTTTACTGTTTAGGAAATCTCCAGCTGGGATCCAGTTCCCAGACTGATCTTTCACCGTGACACGGTACAGCCTTGTGAAATAATAGAAAACATATGTATTGGTCTTTGCTCCCAGTTCCTGGCACAGAGCTCCCCAAACCCTCGAAATGTCCTAAGTGATAATAAAATGACTAGGAGCATCTCAGCTCTAATGTTTGCCGTCTGACCCTGGTTCCTGGTACCAAGCTGCTAAAGCCCTTGTCCTTCCCTGAGTGACGGAGCATCTTCTGTTCTGCAGAGGCCATCCTTGGGGGGGTCCTGTGCCGGGGCTGGTCGGCACAAACACCAAGGCATGCTGAGAACCTTGGAACTTCCATTCCATCTGCATGCTCCAGACGGGGGAGCAGGGCTGCAGGTGGGGTTGCTGATACATCATGCCCCTGTGATGAAGCCTCCATCCTCCTAAGAGCTTCCCCGTTGGCGGACGTGTGCAGGTGCTGGGAGAATGGCACACTGGGGAGACCATGGGAGCTCCGCGCCCTTCCCCGCACACCTCGCCTACTGCACCTCTTCCCCGTGCACGTTCTTCTGCATCCTCCGTAATATGCTTGCGTAATACGCCAGGGAAGAGTAAGTAAACTTTTCCCAGGCTGGGAACAGTGGGAGCCACTCTAGCAAATCGGTGGAACCCAAGAGCAGGTCGTGGGATCGCACTCCCAATTACAGCACCAGTGACCACCGGGACTTGTGATTGGCATTGCAGGGGGGGTTGGGGGATCCCACTGCCATCTACAGCACAGGTGACCACCAGGACTTGTGATTGGCATTGCAGGGGGGTTGGGGGATCCCACTGCCATCTACAGCACAGGTGACCACCAGGACTTGTGATTGGCATTGCAGGGGGGATTTGAGGATCCCACTGCCATCTACAGCACAGGTGACAATCGGGACTTGTGATTGGTTGCAGGGGGCATCGGGGTATTCCACTCCCATCTACAGCACAGGTGACCACCGGGACTTGTGATTGGTATTGCAGGGGGATTGGGGGATCCCACTTCCATCTACAGCACAGGTGACTACCGGGACTTGTGACTGGCATTGCAGGGGTGATGGGGGCAGTCCTGTGGGACTGAGCACCTTCTATCTTCAGTATGACCGATACACAATATCCTCTTAGTTTCAGGCTTACCTCGTAGTGATCATATATTTCCATGCATAACAGAATGATCCCCACGCTTAGTCCAGTTAGCAGGTGTGCCGCATGCCTACTTACTACAGAAGTATTGAGTATGTTCCCTGTGTCGTGTTCGCCATCCCCGTGACTTCTTTCATCTGTGCAGTGTGTACCTCCGAGTCCCCTTCGTCTCTTTCCGCCATCCCTCCCCCCCCCCCCCCCCGTGACGACCGCCACCGTGTTCTCTGTGCTTAAGACTCTTTTTACTTTCTTGGTTTTGTCTGTGAAGTTTCACATGTGAATGAAATCATACAGCCTCTTTCTCTGAGTTTGCATAATACCATGTAGGTCTCTCCATGTCGTTGCAAATGGCAACATTTCATTTCTTTTAAGTAGTATTTTCTGTATACCGTCCTATTTCATTCACCTATTGGTGGATGCTTAGGTTGCTTCCATACATGTGTCTTTTTTTAAAAAGACTTTTTTAAAGATTTTATTTATTTATCTGAGAGAGAGAGAGAGCATGAGGGGGGGAGGGTCAGAGGGAGAAGCAGACTCCCCGCGGAGCAGGGAGCCTGACGCAGGACTCGATCCCAGGACCTTGGGGTCATGACCTGAGCTGAAGGCAGACGCCTAACCGACTGAGCCACCCAGCCATCCCCTTGCATATGTCTTTTAGAATTACTGTTTTTGTTTTCTCCAGGTCATTACCCAGATGTGGAATTGCTGAACTCTGTAGTAGCTGTCTTAACTTTTTGAGGACCCTCCATAGTGTTTTCCAGAGTTTCTGCACCAATTTCCATTCCCACCAATGGTATGCGAGGGTTCCTCTTCCTCCACATCCTGAGCACACTTGTTCTACTTGTGTTTTCGATACAGCCAGTCTGAGTGGTGGGAGGTGGTATCTTGTTACGGTTTGGGACAATTTACCGGTGGGACCTGACACTGTGCACATTGTCAGAAGTGAGCTGGGTTGTCGGGTACCCAGCTGGTGTCATGGACTTGCTTGGTGTGGAGAGCCCCCCTGCCCCCCACACAGCGGGCATCAGGAGGGCTCTGAGTGGGGTTCAGTGAGGGAGCGGTGGAGGAACACAAGCCTGGATAGACGTGCTCCTTTCTCACGAGGGAGCTTCCCAGCAGCACACCCATGGCCAGGTGCACCTGCTGTGCTCCCTGCCACGGGGGAGTGGAAGCATGCCCACCAGTGCAGGGTTGCCCACACCAGCCTTGTGTGCTGCCCGCCCGAGGCCGCTTCAGTACCAGCTGATGGTGTCACGTGATGTCGGATGGCCGTCACTGCCCCAAGCGCACATTTAGGCTCAAATACATCCGTGTTTATATCAGAGAGTGTTGAACAGTAAAATGGGCTTCGTTTCTTTCCCCATTTTTAACTTTGCAGACCACAGCTGCAAACACATCGCAGCAAACTGAGGGGTGGCGACCCGGGGCGCTGTTGTCCGAATGCCCTGCGACATTTCCAGCATTTCCATAGCTGTGCGTGCACGTGACCCACAGTGCATGACACGTGGTCATGTGGCGGGGACCCTGCGATAGCATAGCACACACCCCTAAACATCACCGTACCTTTCTTTCTGCAGATACCGAACGGCTCTACTCACTGGTGTTCCAAGAAATATGTGACCGCTATGGAAAGAAATACAGCTGGGACGTGAAGTCCCTCGTTATGGGAAAAAAGGCACTGGAGGCGGCACAGATCATAATAGACGTCCTGCAGCTACCGATGTCCAGAGAGGAGCTGGTGGAGGAAAGCCAGACGAAGTTGGAAGAAGTGTTCCCCAAGGCTGGTCTGATGCCAGGTACCGTGCCCTCCTACCAGACGGGATTCCGTTCATGCGCCTTCACCGTACTGTTGTAAGTCATGGTTAACAGCCAGTGCCCGGCTGGCTCTGTGTCTTCATTTGTCTTCATACCTCCTCAGAAAAATCTCGTCTTGGGTGAGGCTCACAGATACTCTGGAGAGAGTGTGGTTAATCCTATGCTGTGGTTCCATCTTGTCATTTTTATGGGCTTCTAAAAATAATATGCGTTCCTTTCATGGAGTCCCAAGGTGCAAAGACATTTGAACGGTGTTTGTTTTAATATTACATAAACATTATCTTCATGACGGGATTCTTTCCAAGTCTGATAGGTGGCTTTCCCTTTTCCTGTTCAAAATCAGGTACAGGATGATCTTAGCGACTATGTAAACTTCAACAAACGGATGACGAGCAAGCCGCTAAATCTCCCCAAAGAAGCTTAATTTTTTTCTTTTTTTGAAGTTACGGCATAATTCATTTTCAACATGTCTGTATGCCCTTCGCGCCTTTCTTTACTTGTTTTCCTTTGAAAGCAAAGATGACTTTTCTCCCTTGGGGCTTGTTAACTGAAGATTGATCAGAACTGAATTGTCTGCTATTTCTTGCTAAAAGTGAGAAGGTCAAGAATGTTCTAGATTGCAGGACCGAAAGATGCTTAAAAAGACAGGGCTGTTTTAAGAATCTTCCAGGAAGAAAGGTGAATACTCCGTCTTTGGAATTCCTTGTGCGAGGGGAGAAAAAAAAATTGCAGTTACAAGCAGTGATTTTGGATTTACAGTTGTATTAATGTGAATCGTAGTCATTTTTGAGACTTGTGTTTTTTAGAAATATTTATACATCCATCCAAAAGTGCAGGTTGAATAATGCTGGAAGTAGAGAATTTTCTGGAAAGGCCCAGCTAATGCCTTTGCCCATGGTGTCACATGGAAACCATGCGGACTGTACTTGGATGAGACGCATATCTGAACGTCAGGCGTGGGTACAAGCTCTGTGATACACGCTGTCTGCATCTGCCCCTGTTCTGCGCCCTTTGCACACAGACGTGTCCTCACAGCCCTTCATGGTGCAAACGCATCCATACGGCTCATTTTTTGAGATTTTTAAATTTTATTTATTCATCTGACAGAGAACGTGCACAAACGGGGGAGGTTCAGACAGAGAGAGGGAGAAGCAGACTCCTCGCTGACCAGGGAGTCCGACCCAACACCGGGCTTGATCCCGGGACCCTGGGACCATGACCCCATACAGCTAATTTTTTAAATCACAGTTAAAAACAGACACAATTGGGGAACCTGGGTGGCTCAGGCAGTTAAGCGTCTGCCTTTGGCTCAGGTCACGGTCCTGAGATCAAGCCCCGCATCGGGCTCCCTGCTCGGCGGGAAGCCTGCTTCTCCCTCTCCGACTCTCCCTGCTTGTGTTCCCTCTCTCGCTGGGTCTCTCTCTGTCAAATAAATAAATAAAATCTTAAAAATAAAAAAAAAACGGACACGATAAAACTCACTATCATGGTCCGCACCTTCCATCTCTAAAACTTCATCTTGCAAACCAGAAACTCTGTCCCCATCAACCGCTAACTCCCCATTCGGCCTCCCTCCAGCCCCTGGCATCGTCATTCCACATTCTGTCTGTAGGAATTGCAGTATTCCAGGTCCCTTATAAAGGGGGGGCTCCTACAGGATTTGCCCTTTCCTGACTGGCTTTTTGAACTTACCATTATGTCCTCAAGGTGCTTTCATGTTGTGCATGAGACAGGATGTTCTCCCTTCTTTTTCCATTGTGTCACTAGACACGCTGTGTTTGTCCATTCATCTGTTGATACTCATTTGAGTGGTTTCCTCTTCTTGGCTAATGGGAATGGTGCAGCTATGAACGTGGGAATACAGATACATTTCTGAGACCATGCTCTCCATTTCTGTGGTTCTATACCCAGAAGTGGGCTTGTTGGATGATATGGTAGCTCTATTTTCAGTCTCTTGAGGAGCCAGCATAATGTTTTCCAGAGCGGCTGTACCGTATTATTTTTTCTGTAACGGTCCAGGGGTGTTCCAATTTCTCCACATTTTCACCAACACTTGATTATTTTCTGTGGTGTTTTTGGTTGTTTTTAATAGCCATTCTAAGATGTGTGAAGTGATAACTCGTTGTAGTTTTGATTTGCATTTCTCTAATGATAAATGATGTGGAGCATCAGCCCATACGCTTTTGGCTATTTCTGTATTTTCTTTGGAGAAGTATCTTTTTAAGTCTTTTGCCCATTTTTTAAAATAGGGTTAATCTTTGGTTGTTGTTAAGTTCTAGGAGTTCTTTATGTTTTCTGGATAAACCCCTTATCAGATACATGGTGTGCAAATATTTTTTTCGTATTTCGTAGGTTACCTTTTCACCCTCTTGATTCTGTGCTTTGATGTGCAGAATTTTCTAGGTTTGATGCAGTCCCATTTGTCTATGTTTGCCCTCCTCTCCTATGCTTTTGCTGTCCCATCTAAGACGTCATTCTAAAATCCATTTTCCTAAAGCTTTCCACCTGTTTTCGTCTAGGAATGTTATAGTCTTAGGTGTTCAATTAATTTCAAGTTAATCTTTGTATGTACTGTAAGGGCTGAACATCATGCTTTTGCATGTGGGAACCCACTATTCCCAATTCGGTGGGAATTTGTTGAAGAGGCTGTCCTTTCCCTGTCGAGTGGTCTTGGCGTCTTGTTGAAGGTCATTCAGCCATATATGTCAGGGTCCATTTATGTGCTTTCTGTTCTGTTGGTCTTCATTCCAGTACCACATTGCTTTGATTCCTATAGCTTTGTAATGTATTTCCAAATCAAGGAGTTCAAGACCTCCGACTTTTATTCCTTTTCGGTATTTTTATGGCTGTTCAGAGTCCCTTGATGGTCTGCGTAAGTTTTAGGATGAATTTCTGTATTTGTGCAAAAAAAACATCCTTGAGGTTTTGGTAGGGATTGCTTTGAATCTGTGTATCGCTTTGGGTCGTGTGGACGTTTTAACAGTATCACATTTTCTGGTTCATGAACAGGGGGATGTTTTCCATTTACTTGTATCTTCTTAAATTTTTTTTCAGCAATGATTTGTAGCTTCAGGGTACGAGTGTTTCACCATCTTACAAGTGTATTCCTTTTTGATGTATTATAAATGGAATTGTTTTAACTTTCTTTTCAGGTTGTTCATTGTCAGTATATAGAAATGCAGCTGATTTTTGCATGTTGATTTTTGTATCCTGGGATGTTGCTGAATTTGTTTATCAGTTCTAACAGTTTTTGTGTGTTTGAAACCTTTAGGGTTTTTTACATATAAGATCGTGTCATCTGCGAACAGGAATCACCTCACTTCTTCCTTTACGACTTGGATGTCTCTCATTTCTCTTTCTTGCCTGATCGCTCTGTCTGGGTCTTCTAGTACTGTGCATAGAACTGTTATCTTCTTCCTGATCTCAGAGGAAACGCTTTCAACCTTTTTCTGTTAGGTATGATGTTAGCTGTGGGCTTTTCATACATGACCTTTGTTATACTGAGGCAGTATTATTCTACCTACTTTTCTTTTTCCCAGTTTGAGTGTTGGTATCATGAAAAGGTATTGAGTTTTGTCAGTTGCTTTTCCCATGTCAGTTGATAGAGTTTTTGTCCTTCATTTTATTAATGTGGTGTATCAATGATTTTTGTGTGTTGTGAACCATCTGTGCATTCCAGAAACGACTTCCACTTGGTCATGGTGTATAGTCCTTGTGCTGTTGAAATCAGCTGTTGAAATCAGTATGCTAGTATTTTACTGAGTATTTCTGCATCAGTATTCATTATAGATATCAATTTCCTTGTAGTGTTTTTGTCTGGTTTTCATATGAGGGTAATGTTGGTCTCATGGAATGAGCGTACGTACCCTCCTCTTCAAATTTTTGGAAGAGTTTGAGGAGTGTTGGTGTTCATTCCTTTTTAATTGTTTGGTAGGCTTCATCACTGATGGCTTTTTCTTTGTTGGGAGATTTCTGATTCCTGAACACATATCCTTAGTATTTTATATCTGATTAGGCTTTCTCTTTCTTAATATGATCTTGATACAAGGGTATATGTTTCTAGCAGTTTATCCATTGCTTGGTTATCCAGTTTGTTGGCATATACTTTTTTATATTATTCTCCTAAATCCTTTTTTTTTTTTAATGTGGCATTCATTTTAATGTCCCCTCTTTTCATTTCTGATTTTAGTTATTTGAGCCTTCTCTTGTATTTTCTGTTAGTCTAGCTAAGGATTTGTCCAGACAGTTAACATTTGACCTGGATTATATTTCGTTGTTTAACATGCCAAGCACCTAGAATGTATTAGGCATGCAAATGCCTTTTTTCTTTCTTACCCACCCAAGCCTTTCAAGTGCTTCTCCTTGTATTTTTGTCCTGTATTCTAAGAAATCCTTGAGATATGTTCTACGGCAGTACCCAGAAAATGTGATGTCTTCTGCAGCTAATGTGTAATGTTGAACGCTAAGACGTCTGTGTCCTCAACTCCACTTGGTGAATCCAGTCGATGCAGTGTTCCCATCTGGCTTTCCCAGTGACCAGGTATCACTTCAGTAGGGTACCAGTCACAGATAATCACAGAAGATCACCGAATCCAGACATTCCTAATGTAAAAGTGAGGCAGGAGCTAGTTCGTCAGAGAGTTTAGTCCTACAGAACTTACCTGGATGACTTCTTTCTCTACCACTTTTTGACCTCTTAACCTACTCTCATCGGTAAAGCTGGTTACAGTTAAAATCAGTAGAGGCGAGATATCTTATTTGATTCTATGGATCCTGCATAAAGTAGGGCAAGTTTTCTACCCTAAACAACGCGTCTCCCTTCCATTCTGCCCCCCACCTGTTGTCACGGTACCCGAGCCGAACCTGAAATCCACTGCACAGGTGACCTCCCAGAGCCCTGGGTACAGGGACAATATTCAGAAACAGTGGCCACCGCCTTCTTTCTAGATCTGGGTGTTCATTTTGTTCACTCCCTGCTTTG